TGCTGAAAAAGCATTTGACAAAATCCAACATCCATTCATGTTTAAAGTACTGGAGAGATCATGGATACAAGGCACATATCTAAACATAGTAAAGGCGATATACAGCAAGCCTATAGCCAACATCAAAGTGAACGGAGAGAAACTTAAAGCAATCCCACTGAAATCAGGGACAAGACAAGGCTGCCCACTCTCTCCATGTCTCTTCAACATAGTGCTGGAAGTCCTTGCTAGAGCAATAAGACAGTTGAAGGAGATCAAGGGAATACAGATGGGAAAGGAAGAAGTCAAATTATCACTATTTGCAGATGATATGATAGTATACATGAGTGACCCCCAAAACTCTACCAGGGAACTCCTACAGCTGATAAACACCTTCAGCAAAGTGGCCGGATACAAAATTAACTCAAAAGAAATCAGTAGCACTCCTGTATACAAAAGACAAAAGGGCTGAGAAAGAAATTAGAGAAACAACACCCTTCACAATAGCCACAAATGACATAAAGTACCTTGGTGTAACCCTAACCAAGCAAGTCAAAGACTTGTATGAAAAAAATTTTAAGTCTCTGAAGAAAGAATTAGAGGAAGATATGAGAAGATGGAAAGATCTCCCATGCTCATGGCTTGGCAGGATTAACATAGTGAAAATGGCTGTCTTACCAAAAGCAATCTACAGATTTAATGCAATTCCCATCAAATTGCCAACACAATTCTCTACAGACCTGGAAAGAAAAATTCTCAACTTCGTATGGAATAACAAGAAACCGAGAATTGCTAAAACAATCCTCTACAATAAAAGATCTTCTGGAGGTATCTCCATCCCTGATCTCAAGCTGTACTATAGAGCAACAATAGTAAAAACTGCATGGTACTGGCATAGAAACAGAATGGTGGATCAATGGAATCGAACAGAAGACCCAGAAATAAACCCACAACTTACGGACACCTGATTTTTGACAAAGATGCCAAAACCATACAATGGAAAAAAGATAGCATCTTTAACAAATGGTGCTGGTCCAACTGGATGTCTACATGTAGAAAAATGAAAATAGATCCATACTTATCACCCTGCACAAAACTGAAGTCCAAGTGGATTAAAGACCTCAACATAAAACCAGACACATTAAATCGGCTAGAAAAAAAAGTGGGGAATACCCTAGAACTCATTGGTACAGGAGAAAACTTCCTGAACAGAACACCAACAGCACAGGCTCTAAGAGAAACAACCAATAAATGGGACCTCATGAAATTGAAAAGCTTCCGTAAAGCAAAGGACACTGTCATCAAAACACAGTGACTGCCTACAGATTGGGAAAGAATCATCACCAACCCTTTATCTGACAGAGGACTCATATCCAATATATATAAAGAACTAAACAAGCTGAAAAGCAACAAACCAAGTAATCCACTTAAGAAATGGGGAACAGAGCTAAAGAGAGAATTCTCTGTAGAGGAATATCGAATGGCAGAGAAGCACTTAAAGAAATGCTCAACCTCATTAGCCATTAGGGAAATGCAAATCAAAACAACCCTGAGATTTCACCTTACACCCATCAGAATGGCCAAGATGAGAAACTCAAGGGACAACACATGCTGGAGAGGTTGTGGAGAAAGGGGAACTCTTCTCCACTGCTGGTGGGAATGTAAACTTGTACAACCACTCTGGAAAGCAATCTGGCGCTTTCTCAGAAAACTAGGAATAGCGCTTCCTCAAGATCCAGCCATACCACTCCTAGGCATATACCCAAAAGAGGGTCAAGTACACAAAAAGGACATTTGCTCAACCATGTTTGTAGCAGCTTTATTTGTAATAGCCAGAAGCTGGAAACAGCCCAGATGCCCCTCAACTGAAGAATGGATGCAGAAACTGTGGTACATCTATACAATGGAGTATTACTCAGCAATGAAAAATAAGGAAATCATGAAATTTGCAGGTAAATGGTGGGACCTGGAAAGGATCATCCTGAGTGAGTTGTCCCAGAAGCAAAAAGACACACATGGTATATACTCACTCATATAAACATACAACATAGGATAAACCCACTAAAATCTGTACATCTAAACAAACTAAGCAAAAGAGAGGACCCTAACTAAAATGTTCAATCCCCATCCTGAAAGGCAAAGAGGATGGACATCAGAAGAAAAAGAAAACAGGAAACAACCTTGGAACCTGCTACAAAGGGCCTCTGAAAGCCAGAAGAAAACAGGAAACAACCTTGAAACCTGCCACAGAGGGCCTCTGAAAGCCTCTGCAGTATAGACTGTCAAAGCAGATGCTGAGCCTGATGGCCAACTGATGAGCAGAGTGAATGGAATTTTATGTAAGAAGTGGGAAATAGTAAGAGCTGGAGGGGATGGGAACTCCACAAGGAGAGCAACAGAACAAGAAAATTTGAACACAGGGAACTTCCCAGGGACTCATACTCCAACCAAGGACTATTCGTGGAGATAACCTAGAACCCCTGCACAGATGTAGCCCATGGCAGGTCAGTGTCCAAGCGGGTTACATAGTAATGGGAAGAGGGACTGCCTCTGACATAATCTGATTGCCCTGCTCTTTGATCACCTCCCCCTGAGGGGGGAGCAGTCTTACCAGGCCACGGTAGAGGACAATGCAGCCAATTTTGATGAGAACTGATAGACTAAGATCAGAAAGGAGAGGAGAACCTCCCCTATCAGTGGACTTGGGGAGTGGCATGCATGCAGAAAGGGGAGGGAGGTTGGGATCGGGAGGGGAGGAGGGAGGGGCTTATGGGGGGATACAAAATGAATAAAGTGTAATTAATAAAAAATTAAAAAAAAACAGGCATATATTGACCTTTGTCCTACCCAGGAGAAAGATCCTCAGACACCATAGGCTGAGATATTCCTGTTTCTCACCTTCTGTCACATTGTCTCTTTGCTAACAGCAGGGCTCCCAACTGGTAGCAGGGCTCCAACCAATATAGGTAGGCACAAGGCCACCCAAAGTTGAACCATTGTCCAACCTCTTCAGATCCCAAAGTTGAACCATTGTCCAGCCTCCTCAGATCTTGTCTGGTTACATAAGGACATGAGGACAGGCTGAAGGAATGTAAACAGAAGTGCCAAGTCACTGTGGGGAACTCTCTTGAAGGTCAGGTTCTCCTCTCTTTTGCTCTGTCTGGAAAGTCTGGTACTCAAGTGATTACATTAGGCCAAATGAATGAGGAGGCACGTACCTCAAGAACAGTGACAGTGCTGGTCAGCTACTGTATGAACTTCCAATTGTCCACTGGATATTTTGTTTTAGTTTTGGGTTTTGTGCTAGAGATGGAACCCAAGGCCTGTGAATGCTTGGCATGTGCACTACTGCTGAGCCACGAACCTATGACCCTGCATGGACCTTGTGTCAGAAAAGGAAATCTTATGTATTTAGGGCAGTGTCAACTACAAGTTCACTTATCCTGTTACCTGAAGGCTGGAGCCTACCTGCTTTCTCCAGCCATCTCTAGAAGGAACAACTCAGTTTTTGTCAGAGCAGAATATTCAAGTTCTTTCTAATTTATTTTATATCATTTTTTTCTGTATGTGTTTATGCCTCTGTGTGTGTACACATGCACACATTCGTGGACACACACATGTCAAGGCCAGTGGGAAGTCAGAGGACTACCAGTAGGGTTTGGTTTTCTCCTGCCTGTGAGGCCCCTGACTGGCTACACATACTTTTCCAAGATAAGAAATCTCTCCAGCCCTATCAACTACTTTCTAGAAGAAGATCAGCTCCTAGATGACTTGACTACATTATCATCCTATATTGATTTTAAAATATAGCTGGCAAGACCTTCAACATGCCAGCTCATGTAAAAAAAAAGCATAAAAATAAATTATGTATTATAAAACCTGGGTCATCATCTTACACACATTTATTCCCAAACTGGTGGGCAAGACAGGCAGATCCTTGCGAGAAGTTGGCCAGCCTGGTCTATAGAGCGATTTTCAAGGAATCCAGGGCTATGGAGAGAAACACTGTCTCATGTTACCAAATAAGAATAAGAGTATAATAATAATAATAATAATAATAACAACAACAACAACAACAGCTGGGGAGTGGTGGTAAAAGGTTTTATTCCAGTACTCAGGAGGCAGAAGCAGCTGTATCTCTGAGTTCAAGGCCAGCCTGGTCTACATTGTCAATTCTAGGAAAGCCAGGAGTACACAAAGAAATCTGAATTGAAAAAATAATAAAAAAATAAAAATTAAACTTAAAATTAAATATTAAATTAAAGAAATGATAGTAATAATAATGGGGAAAACAGGAAGAAGAAAAGGGAAAAGAAGGAAGGAAGAGGAAGAAGCAGAAGCAACAGTAGAACACATAGAAGCAGGAGAATTGGAAGAAGGAGAAGAGAAGGAAGAAGCAAAAGTAGTAGCAGAAGGAGAAGAATCAGGTTCATGAGCAGGAGAAGAACAAGTAGAAGAAGTAGAAGTAGAAGAAAAGGAGAAGGATTAGGAGCAGGAGCAGGAGGAAGAGAAGGAGGAGGAGAAGAAAGAAGAGAAGAAAGAGAAGAAGAAGGTGTAGAAGAATTAGAACCATTCTGGGAAACTGGCTCACCAGGTAAAATGCTTTCCTAATAAACATGAAGCGTACATGTGAATTCCCATAACCCATGCAAAGCCATGTAGCTTGTGTTTCTCTCACCCTAGTGTTCCCCTGGTGAGCTGGGAAATACAGATAAGAAAATCAATAGAAATGCCAGGGCCAGTTATCCAGGCATACACAGGGGCATAAACAACAATGAGGAGCCAATTAGATGGCACAGTTGGTAACAGTTATTGCCATGGGTTGTGGGGTGTGGAATCAGGCTAGGGAGGTGACTTTGTTCTTGGAAGGAGCTTCACACAAAGAGGATTGAACATCTGGCAGGTAGAACGAAATCCCTAAGGTTCAGAGTAAAGCCATTAGGTGTAGAGGCTTTGCATTCAATAGTTCAAATTTAAATTCTTGCCTTTGGAGAAGATGCTCACCTCAGAGACTTTCTCCATTAAGTTAACCAGGGAAGCACAGCCAGTTCAACAGTTGATTCATTCTGTCTCACATTCACCCCATAAATGCTCGAGCACACCAGCGTCTAGATTCAGGCTAGAATAGATTCTAAAGGGTAAACACCTTATAGATTCTTCTGAGATGACTGCTATGTGGATCTTGCAATCTTTGCACTCAGGATGTTAGGGCAAGAGGATCTCAAATTTAAGACACAGCTTCATAGAAAGACCCTATCTCAAAAAGACACAAGAAAAATATAAAGAAGAATGTGTACTGGGAGGATAAGAAGAAAGTGAAATTCTTGCTCTTTCTTAGTACTATGATATCAAATCCAGCTATGCCTGCATTCCCTAAAAGTCTGTTCAACAACAAAAGATACATCTCCATCTGTCACCTTATCCACATTCACCTAGGCAGAATGGGAACACAGGATATAGCATATCTCGTCACTGTTGGTCACCACTGATAATCTGTTGAAGCTTGGCAAATCCCGCTATAAGTAGGGGCGAAGACAACCCAGTGAACAGAGAGCAACAGGTAAAACTGTGGGCCAGGGAGGAAATGGAGCAGAGCTGTGGGAAGATGAGAGGATCTGACCAGACTAGACATTTCTGCTTCTCATTGTCAGTAGTTTTATGGCTTTGGAGAAAACATCTCTGATCTCTTTGAGACTCAGTTTCATCTGTAAGAAATAACAAATCTTACCAGCATCATAAGGGTTTGGAGAGGAATAAATGAGATGCTGAAAATTGGAAACGATCATTCCATTTCTGGTAACATTTACTATTACTCACATAATTTTATGTCATTGTTTTATTTTGGTTCTTGGTGGGCTGTGGTTACAGGCGAAGCTTAGGTACTTTGAATTTGGTTACAAAGAGTCTTTCATATGTAAGTATATTTCAGCCAGATTTTCAGTAGCTTAGAGCCTTTGATGGACTTTGTGGCAAGGACTTCAGATTTCATTACAGTAGCCTTTGTATGTGTACCTGGCCTGGATGTGTGTCCATCCAGCTAAGTCTCTGATGTAGTGCTTCTATGTCAAACGGCTGGGGACACTTTAGAAGAGGCCAGAGGAAAAAGGCCAGACTTAAAAAATGAGACGAAGATTGGCAAGAGTGACACTGAAAATCAGGCTCTAAAAGTAGCCATTGCATGACCTATTTTGCAGTCCTATAATATTACCTGCTTGGATGATGGAGAGAATTGAGAGAGAGAGAGAGAGAGAGAGAGAGAGAGAGAGAGAGAGAGAGAGGAAAGAGAGCATTCCCACAGCCAGGTCAAACAGCTTACCAAGATCCTGTATGACACTTTTCAAAATATTGCCCATATGTGTTTGCTTACCTGTAATCCCAGCACTCCAAAGGTGGAAGCTGGGCTGCTTCCAGCTTCTGTTATTGCAAATAAAGCTGTTATGAACATGATGGAGCAGATGTCCTTGTTGTATACTTGAGCATCATTTAAATATATGCCTAGAAGTGGTATATCTGGATGCATAGGTTGCACTATTCCTGTCTGAGAAAGCACCAGATTTATTTCCAAAGTGGTTGTTCATGTTCACATTCCCACCAGCAGTGGAGTAGGGTTCATCTTTCTCCACATCCTCTCCAGCATGTGTTATTACTTGAGTTTTTGATCTTAGCCATTCTGATGGGTGTAAGATGAAATCTCAGGGTCATTTTGATTTTCGTTTCCTTGATAGCTAAGGATGTTGAACATTTCCTTAATTGTTTTTCCACCATTTAATATTCCTTTATAGAGAATCTTCTCTTTAATTCTGTACCCCATTTTTAATTGGATTACTTGATTTGTTGTTGTTTAAAGTCTGTTTTTGGGGGGCTGTTTGTTTTCTTTTTTTCATTTTATTTTTTATTAATTACAGTTTATCCACTTTGTATCCACCCTGTAGCTTGCTCCCTCCCTCAATTCACCCTCTCTCCTCCATCTCCACCCATGCTCCTCCCAAAGTCCACTGATAGGGGAGGTCCTCCTTTTCTTCCTTCTGATCCTAGTCATTCAGGTTTGATCAGGAGTGGCTGCATTGTCTTCCTCTGTGGCCTGGTAAGGCTGCTCCTCCCTCAGGGGGAGGTGATCAAAGAGCAGGCCAATCAGTTCAGGTCAGAGAAAGTCCCTGTTCCCATTACTTTCTGTATACAAAGTAATCCTTCTTTTGCCTAAATTGCTTTTGGTCATGGAGTTTACTAAAGCAAATACAAGTATCACAGACATGAACCACTATTGTCTTCTATGAAACATGACCTTTTATGCTAAGCTCCCATGAAATTGTGATCCTCCAGCACCACCCTTTAAACTGTGGGTTGTAGGCATGTTCCAAAACATAGACCTACGTCTTTATCTTTAATTGATATAATAATCTATTGTACATATTTGTGAGGTGCAGGGTGACAGTATATTATACAATGGACACAATCTCAAGGTAATAGTCCTAAATATTATTTAAAATGTTTGTCAGTGATTTTGTTTGAAACAGAATTGAAACTTGTCAGAAATAATTATCTCATTATACTATCAAACACAGATGTTGAGTAGTTATCCAGCTGCACCCCTGCAAACCCTAACCACTTCCTGGTCTCTGGTAATGATTACCCTATTCATTTTTTAAAACGTTCTACACATAAGTGAGATCATGCAGTATTTGACTTCCCTTAACTGACATAATTTACTTTACACAGTGTTTTCCCATGTTATTCATGTTGCTGTAAATAACAAATTTAATCATTCTTGTGGTTGAATAATATTCTAACACACACATACACATGCGCTTTAATGTATTTTGTTTGCTTAAAATTCTAATCTTCGTGGTTTAAAAATCTTCTGCAGAGAATGTTTCATGTCTTTGTTCCTCAGACTATAGATCATAGGATTAATGAGAGGAGTAACAACAGAGTAAAACAGAGTCACAAGTTTCTGCATTCCAGCTTCATGCTCAGATGTTGGGCTCAGATACATGACCATCACTGAGCCATAAAAGAGTGAAACTACTGTCAAATGAGACCCACAAGTGGAGAAAGCCTTTTTTTGTCCTTCTCTTGAAGGGACTCTGAACACAGCTCTCAGGACCATTATATAAGATCCCATGATGCATAGAAAAGGAATAAACAGGAGCAGAGAACTTATAATTGTCCAGAAAAACTCCATTAATGGGGCTCTGGAACAGGTGAGGGCCAACAGAGGGCCTGGGTCACAGAGGAAGTGGTCTATAATTCTGGACCCACAGAAGGACATCTGGGAGATAATGATGATAGGAACAGGGAACCAGAGGAATCCAAGCACCCAGCAACTGATCACCAGGATGTTGCAAAGGCGCCCAGTCATGAGAGCAGGATAGTGCAGAGGCCTGCAGATGGCAAGGTAGCGGTCAAATGCCATGACCGCCAGGAAAAAGCATTCCGTAGAACCCAAGGAGAAGAAGAAATAGAACTGCAGGAAGCACCCAGAGAAGGAGATGACCTTGGTGTCAGAGAGGAAGTTGGCCAACATGTTGGGGACTGTGGAGGTGACATACCAGATCTCCAGGAAGGAGAAGTTGGCCAGCAGGAGGTACATGGGGGTGTGGAGTCTCTGATCCCAGCGCACAGCACAGATGATGGAAGCATTTCCCATGAGGGTGAGGAGGTAGACAGTGGAGAAGAGTGCAAAGAGGAAGATCTGTCCCTCCCTGGGGCAGGGGAAGCCCAGGAGGATGAACCCAGTGATGGTGCTGGCGTTGCTGGGGCTGCTGAGGGTTTTCATCTGTCTGTGACCTGGGAAAGTGCCAGAAATTATCAAATGGATACAGCCAGTTGATGACTCAGATTTATATTTAAATTATTATAGACAAAAAACCCACATATGTTTTACTAGCCACTTAAGAAAGACATTGATCTGAATTGATTGTTTGCTCCCATTCTTTGCTTCCCTAACTTTCCACCTTTGGCACAAGGAAACCATCAGTCATAATTGATAAGTACTCCTCTTTCTTTTCCTCCTTCTGGTCCTCATCTTCCTCACCCTCCTCATTTTCTCTATTCTATTCAGTTAGATTCTAATGTATTTTTAAGTATGTTTACATTTTTCTTCACAATATTACACGTGTGTGTAATCAAGTATATGTAGATATATTCACACAAAACACAATTTCCTCTCATTTTTCAGAAGTGAAATCCTTGTATCTCTTGATGTAGAGTATCTTGTCATCTGTAATTATTAGCCATATTATATTCATAGTGGGTTTTAAAAAGTTGAAATCAGATTAAGCTTAGGGAACACCCCTGCATACAGACTTCAGTTAGCTTCCCAACATACTTGGAGTAAATGTCTAAGCCATGGGTTTTAGACTTAATTCCTCTTAACATCTCTGATCATCTTTCCCTCTTTCTATCCCTTTATCCTATCTTCCCTTTTTTGTACATAGGTTAAACCTGTACATCCCATATAAACATATAAAACAAGGGTTATTGAGTAGAGCACTAGACAACAGAGAGTGACATTGCACATTGCCTGCTGAGCATCCAACATCCCAATGAGAGGGTGTATTTTTGGACCACCTACATCCTCGTCACACTTCAGTAGAAAGAGATCCCACCTTCCTCCTCTGTAATGTTTTCTAGTAGGGGTTGGCCAATACTTTGTTAAGTAGTTTATGCTTTTGGGTCACATAATTTCTATCAAAACTACACAGCTCTGGCACAGTAAGGCCAAAACGAGCTGTAGACAAGCTTTAGATGAATGCACGTGGCCATGCTCCAGTGAGACCTGAAGTCCATTAAAGGTGGAATTTCATGCAGTGTTCACGTGTTAGGAAGTTATGCTCTTTCATCCATTGTGAAACTTAATATGTAAAAACAGTGCTCAGCTTGCGCTCATAATAAAAGCAATATGTGTTTCATTGACTCCTGCTATTGTAGGGGAGAAGAATAAAAGAAATAGCACCAACACCCACACCACCAACACTTTTTCTTGTAGAGAAGGAGGAGGCTTCCAGAAGTCAATAGCTAAAACTATTCTGTTCTTCTGTGAGACTATAAACATTCTGAACCAACCTTGAGCTAAATCATAAAAATGAGTTTTTAAAGCCATTAAAACCTGCTTGCCTATATGCTTAGAGAGACACACACAGACACCCACACCCACATAGAAACACACAAAAAGGAGCACACGTGTTTACATACTGATGTACTACATATCTTTGCTGCATAACACTTGAGTTAGTTAACAATGGATTAGTTCAGTATTGAAAAAAAGAGTAGTAAGAACACAAGTCAGTTGGCCAGCACCATATTATGCCTGGGCAAAGCCAATTGGCTCATGTTGGGAGATATTTCTCACAGGAGTGTATAGTTACTCACCTCTTATTACTCAGCTTCCATGTTCATAGAGCAGCAGTGAGGTTTTTCTGATACAGGCTCTTCTCAAACTGTCCAACTGGCTGCAGAAGGGACTGTGAACATGGATGGCTATAATGGCTTCAGTGCTTATGTGTACAGGGTGAGTCCTATGGTTGATTAACATTGACAGCAAAACAGTTCAGCACTTTCATCCAAATTTTATGTTAGGGAAGTTGAGATAGAGCACATTAATTAGCCAGATCCTGTGCCATAACATGTAAAATGAAAGAGGTTTCAATTTTCTGAAAATTGCTTTTGCTTTTGCTTCAAGTTTCGTCCAAGAAGTCACAATCCTGTGAAACCATCATTGGCTCAATCTTCTCAGTATATCCATTTTATTTGATAAGAGAGGAAATTGCCACACATGTCCCATTTTTGCAAAACATCTTTCCCATGGAAGGCTGAGAGGTGGTAAGTAGTTAAGGCATTGGAGAAAAGCAATAGATTTTGAGCAAGAAGCTTAGCGTTTGAATTATAATCCATGTGTTACTTACTGTAGACACTCTATTGATTCAAATACATGCACTACTTTCTAGTGTCTTCAGCTGTAAAGCAGTTAAATAACACTCTTACAGAAGGGTTGAGAGCTCTGAATAAGGTAATGCACATAGAAGCACTCTGTTTAGGACCTGACACAGTTAGAGATTATTGGCTGTGGAACAGGCAGCTAGGAAATAGCAAAAAGAAAACCTTGAGAGGGTTGAGAGGGTTGCTTTTCTAGTTCTCTACAATATCCATGAGGAGTGAAGAAGTAGAATGAAGATATCTGTGTTATTACTGGAACATATAAGGTTTATAAATAGAGCCTCTCAGGAATTGTCTCTGTTTCTTCAAATTTATTACATTCAAAACAAGAATTTCTCTCGTCTTATGGGGCCTGGTTTCTCTTGGGACACTTTGTGCCATTTACCTTTATTTTCCAGTGGAGTAAAATGTTATCACTTTTTCCCCATACTACAGTGGGATGCTGTAAGATATAATCAATTTTTAATCCTGCTCAGATCAACTACTTTGTACCCAAGGGGAGGCTTATCAAAGAGGCCTAAATGTTGGTGCTATGATGCTAGTCTCTAGCGAGTGGTACAAGTGGTTGGTATTGAAGTCACAGCTAGAAGAAAGGGCTAAAGGTGAAATGAGAGCTTATTGATATGGAGCTGTATATTCACAGCAGGAATCAGTCTTTCCCTAGGAGCACTAGGGAATTATAATCCATGTGTTACTTACTGTAGATTTTTTTTTTCACATGTTTTCCTTTTAGTTTAGGATCATGTCCTGTGAGTTTCAAGAAGTCAGTCTTGGAAATGTCTGTCCTAGATTTGCGACACACATCAGCTACTCTCTGGCCTTGCCTCAGGGCTTTGTTCCTACCATTGATTGGAGGTACATACATGTTTATTGACTATTCCTCTTTTTCCAACAGCAGGAGTCTTATATCAAAGAAATGAGTGAATTTCACTTTTTTCTTTATGTTTTTATTAATTACAGTTTATTCATGTTGTTTCCCACCTGTAGCTCCCTCCCACCTCCCTTTCCAATCTCACCCTCCTTCCTCTTCTCCACTCATACCCTTCCCCTAGTTCATTGATAGGGGAGGTCTTCCTCCCCTTCCTTCTGTCCTAGTCTATCAGATCTCATCGGGAGTGGCTGCACTGTCTTCCTCTGCAGCCTGGTAAGGCTGCTCCCCTCTCAGGGGGATGTGATCAAAGAGCAAGCAAATCAGTTCATGTCAGAGACAGTCCCTGCTCCATTACTGTGGAACCCACCTGGACACTGGACTGCCATGGGCTACATCTGTGTAGGGGTTCTAGGTTATTTCCATGAATGGTCCTTGGTTCGAGTATCAGTGTCAGAAAAGACCTTAATTTCACTTCTTGTTGATTTATCCACTTGTAACAATGTATTATTCAAAGCTGGCCAACAAGGGACCTAATTTGTGAATACCATGATTACTATAGTTCTTTCATGTGTGGCAGATGGCTTCATCATGGCTACATTACACTTCTTAGGAAAACAATATATGTTTGCTGGCTAAATAATCTTACTTCCTAACCCTCAGAGAATCAGAGGAGAACATGCAAAGAGAGAGGTGAGTGCTTTGGAGTAAGGCACCCAGGAGGTTCATTTACTCAGGGAGAAATGAAATGCCCTGTTTTGTTCTCTTTTTAGTTTGAAAAAAATTTTAGTTTTTAGCCCTCATATGGATTTCCTAGTAAGAGGATCAAGGGCTGTCTCTGACATGGACTCTGTTGCCTGCTCTTTGATCACTCTGTTCTCTTAGAGCTGCCTTGCCTTGGCTCAGTGAAGCAGGATGCACTCAGTCCGGATTTGACTTTATGTGCTGGGATGGTTGGTTGATGGAGGAGTCCCCTTTTCTGACGAGTAGTGTGTGCGTATACAGGGAGGAGAGAGGGATGGTGAGACAAAAAGGAGAGGAAGGAAATGACTGTGATCAAGATATAAAGTGAATAAGAAAAGTAAAAAATAGTAGGTATTTTTTAATGAAAATAAATTATTTTCATACAGCATTTCTGTTCATAATTTACCCTTATGCATCTCCTGAATTCTCCCCCTCTTCCAACCCACCTAACACCATCTCTTCTTTCTCTCTCCTTCTTTAAAAAACAAACAGGCAAACAGACACAAACAAAAAAGAAGTGCAAAACAAATAACAAGGAAAAACGAAGAGCATAAGAAACACAAACATAAACACAAAATCCATAAACACACAAAACTTGAAACCATACCATACACACGAAATGCCTAAGACAAAAAAATGCTCAAAAACAGGTATATGAGACAAAAAATATACAAAAATACCAGAAAGTTCATTCTGTGTTGGTCATTTTCTCCTGGGAATAGGACATACCCTGAATTTTATTTTATATAGTCAGTGAGACTTTACTGGAGAAAGAATTTTTTTTTGTTAAAATAAACTAAATTTAATGACTCTTGTTCCAACTAACCATAAGAAAGAGAAGACCCAAAATGTCACAATCAATTGTGAACAAGAAAATGTAACAGCAGACACCAAAGAAATTAAGAATATTCCTCAGGAACAATTAAAAAAAATCTGTACTTCATTAAGATGAGAATACTCAAGGAAATGGGTCATTTTATAGATTCATCCAAACTACCAAAATCAAACCAAGAGTTCAACAACCCAAACAAACACATAACAAATGAGAAAATTGAATTTGTAATGAAAAGCTTCCCAGCTTAAAAAGATCCAGGACCAGATAAAGTCACAACAAAATTCTACCAGACCTGTTAAGAAAATGGAGATCCAGTTCTCCTTAAACTGGTAAAAAAAAAAAAAATCAAAACACAAAAACCAAGAAACAAGTCCCACTTCTTCCCCCCAAAGAA